CGTTGAGTCAAAAGACATCTGTCTGCAGAGCAGAAACATTGCGCTCTCATTTTCACCCTTAAAAATTAAATATTCCTGCAATTTTGCAAATTCCAGGGGCTGCCTAGGTATGCAATTTTTTTTTAAGTTGGCTGCAAAATATAAAATCATCTAAAAATGGTATAGGTACTCTAGTTTAACATCAATAAAATGCACCGTTTTTTGAGTAAACTATTCATAGGTGTATTTGATATTTAAACTTATGGATTTTTATTAATATTTCCGAAGCGATATGGAATGATATAATAAAATTATGTAGGCCTATTTATCTTTTTATGCTAAATTAAAATATGTAAACGAAATTTAAAATATGTATTCAAAAGTTTATTAAACAAGGCGGCCTAGATGTACCCTAATGAGTTTAGATCCGGTGAAAGAGGTGGCCAAGCTATAGGACCACCTCGACCTATCCACCAGCAGCGAAAAATTTGATTCAACAAGTTCAAACATTGCGCCTAAAATAAGCAGGCGCGCCTTCATGTTAAAAATGCATTTTTTGTTGAAACTCGTGTCGAACATCCAACGTTAATAAATCAATAAGGTCGTTTTAAAGGAAGTTTGCATACTCTTTTGCATTAAGACTGTTGGGGAGTATTGTTGGGCGAATTACTTGATCCAATGATTCCTGCCCAACAAATTACCTAAAATCTGTCGTGCATTTTCGTCTGACCAATATGAATATTAATTGCTCCATTCCTAGTGAGCATCGACTCATCAGACCATATGGTCTAATATATAGTATACTATGCTGGTCAGAGTATTTTCGTTCGCTAATATCCATTGACAAAACTGGAGTCGTGGTAAAAAATCTGCTTCCATTAAATGTTGCAAGCGTTTAAAATGCATATATAGTATACTATGCTGGTCAGAGTATTTTCGTTCGCTAATATCCATTGACAAAACTGGAGTCGTGGTAAAAAATCTGCTTCCATTAAATGTTGCAAGCGTTTAAAATGCATCCATGCATTTTGGTCATTCTTCCTACTTAAATTATTTTTAAAAGATAATTATAATTAACCATTTAACTTTTCGTATGCTTATTTGTAGATAATTTTCGAAATGATCCGTACGATAATAAATTCAATCTCCGCCATTTGGAAAAGTGTATTTCCTTATTTCAATAAAGATGTTTATTATTATCATTATAATTTTCCTGTGGTCTTCCTGCGCCTTAAAACCTTTTAAAATTCCCATGGTTTGACAAATTCCGCTGAATAACGGCAAACGTTCGACGCACAGTGGTCTAAAGTCAAAAAAGACAAAATCCGAATGAAAAATTGTGATGGTTTGTATTATGGTAAGGGGGTAAGAGAAAATTCAATTCAATAAACAATATACTAAAAAAAATTAAAAAATCACTGGAAGACCGGAAAATGTTGGGGAAATTTGATTTAATAAAAAAGTGGCTACAATAGTTAGGCGCCCGTGCACTTAATACCCGACGTTCTCTTGAAAAAGTTCTAAATCCATGTACAGGGTGTTTGTTTCTAACGCAAGTGTTTATATTTGTAAATTCAAAAATGTATCTTAAACGAAGCTAGTTATTTATTTTATTTTATTTATTTAATACATTATCTTACAGTCCTTGGACCAATGACAAGATGAGAACATTTATATATAATAAGTATTACATATTTAGCCTTATACATATAAATTCATATAAAATATACATAAAAAAGTTGAGACACAAAAAAACACTTCAAATATCAAATATATGGCAAAACAAAAACACAATAATATTATAAGGAAAGCCAAATAAATTAGGTATTTATAGTAATACTCCTTATTATTTGAACATTACATAAAAAAATATCAAATCTGTCTTGAAAATAATTGTACTTTCCATGTATTGAATATGTTTTTGTATAAGTGTAACAAAAAAAATTCCTAAATTCATTATCAGCAACCTATACACCACTGCCAGATTTATTGAATTGATTGGATATTAAATTTGTTATCATCTATAGCTATAGCCTCAAAAACCACAGGTTGCTACATTTGAAAATTTGAGCGATATCAGAATTTTTTTTTTTAAATGTCCTCTATTTTGGATCCGCCATTGTGTTTTTCGAAAAATAAATATAAAATTCGTAATTAGCGACCTCAAAAAATTTAAGCGATATCAGAACATTTGTTAAAAAAATGTCCGCCATATTGGATCCGCCATTTTGTTTTTGAAAAAATGGATATAAAATTCGTAATCAGTGGCATTTAAAATTGATTTAATGAAAATCCTAATTTAAACCAGAAATTAGTTTAAATTCCCAATACACCTGTCGCATACCATGTAACAAAATTTTCAGATGGATTTTACTTAAGAAACGGTACATTTTATCGATGCTCAACAGGAGTACCTTTTTTCTTATTCTGCAGCAAAATTTGCAAAAAAATTCCACACAAAAAAGTTGTGGCGGAAAATACACTCATAAATAAAAAAATAAAATAAGTTGTTATTTTCAGCATAAAAAATTAAGTAAGCATACAAAATTTTATTGTTTTATCTTAAACTGGTTCGGAAATAATAATAAAAAACCATTTTCAGGGGCTCCCCTTTAAGAGGCTGTAGCTTCGTTTGCCGACCTATGTTTACCGTAAAATGGGGTGAATGGGAACTAAAGGGGAAATCGGGACAAAAGTGGGAAAAAGTTTTCAAACATTTCTTACGTTAATTTAAATTGACAAATCAAAAACTTTTGTGGGTTTTCATGTACAGGAATGTTGTGTTTACTAGTTGGTAGCATTGAAAAATTGGTAACAGTGGAGCTGTCATTATGGGCTAACCTCAAATTGTGAGCAAGTTTTGTTATCGTATGGGTGCTCCGAAAAGCTTCATCTGGAAAACGTAAAAGGGGTAAGTGAAATAAGCTGAAACTTTCGTGATTGTTGTCTTAGTTATTCATTTAAAATATAAAAAAGTCAAATTGTTGAAAATGTGTTCCACTTTTTCCCAATAATTTTATAAATTCAAAATGCGCAAAATTGAACCGCATTTGGGTGAATCGGAACAGGGAAAATTTTGAAATTTAGACACTTTTAAAGGTTTTTTTTTTGTATTTTATTTATTTTTATATATTTTATACGTTTTATAAATAATAAAAGAAAACATTTTTGAGTTATATATTGGTCTTTTTCTTTCCACCCAAGGTCTGAATCACATTATATGAATTTTTCGCCGCTTTAAAAAAATATATTTTGTGTTCCTATTACACCTTTAACGCGTTAAATCGGCATACAAGGGAAAATAACATTGGTGTTCCTATATCGACTGATACCGGGGCAATAGGAACAAAGAACATTAAAATAAAAAATATATATTTTGGAAAAATCTATTATTTTCAAATTTTGGTTATAGGTAGCCCAGGACCCCATAGGACTTTTAGGCCCAAAACGGTCTTTAAAAAAATTACTATACGGCCGCTGTGATTGATCAAATGTCAAAAAGTGTTCCCATTCACCCCATTTTAGGTACGAGAAGATTTCTTCCTATTTTTGCCTTTAGAAACCACGTGTGAATTATTGCACACTATTTTCGGGACACCCTGTATATATTTTTAAAATAATTTGTACTTGTCTTTCTATTTTAGCAGACTTTTTATATATACTTATTTGCACAATTTTTACGTTTAAAATTTACATTTTTAAATTTTTAACATCAAACAAATTTTTAATTCGTAAGTCTTTTTATTTTAGCAGACTTTTTAGATATATTTGCAAAAATTTTAAGTCTTAAAATTTACATTTTAAAATTTTGACATTGGATTCGATGATACTTAAATAAATATACATACGAACAGTGATGCCAGGTCTCCCGTTTTAGCGGTAGATATACCGTTTTTGGAAACAATCTCCCGTTCTACCGCTATTGAAAAAAATCTCCCGCTTTTTTTACTTCTTTTTATAAATAAAATTCACAAATTCTCCTTCGTATTATACAATTTATATGAAACATATGTAAAATATGGGTTGCCTAAACCAAATATTGATATGACACAATTAGTTGGTTCTATCATTGAGTAAGATTCTTTACTCAATGGTTCTATCATTCACAAATGTCAGTGTCTCAGTCACGGGGTATTTCAGCCAACCAAATTTGTAGTACGCGAATATTCAAATTTGATTGGATGAAATTATTTTCTTTAGGCATGAACATAGAAAAAGAACTTTAAAGTAAAAGAGATTCTTAAGTTAAAAATTTCGATTAGTGAATATTTATTTAAGGTTGTGAAAGTTGTGAAATATCTATAGAATATATTTTCTGTTTTGTTTATCATATTTTGTTTTATTTTGACAAATTCAATCTATTTTTTTTGGTTACGTAAGTATTAAAATTATTAAAATAGAGAAAACCATGGTATTAAAAAAAAAATAAAAACTACAGTTTTTTATTCGAATCTCCCGCTTTTTTTTAACTAAATCTGCCGCTTTAAAAAAAAACGACCTGGCATCACTGCATACGAACCACAATGCCTATGCTATGCCTGTGCTTAGTTACTTTTGCTACAACTAGATACGAGTAAAATATGTGATTGCCATGCAATAATAATTTGTTGGACCTACGCTTATTTTGCATGCGTTCCCAACATCAAATGATCTTCCTGGAGAAAATAATATTTTTATTTTTATTAGACCATCAAGATTTGGGCTTTACTTTGGACCGGGAGTCCGCCGCCTCTGCATTCCCTTTGTCGGCTACGGTTATTAACACGTCTACACAAATTTAAACAAAATCAAATTAATTTTATTTTTTTTGTCACCTGCCTAGCTTGTAATATACCTACATATGTTTTATACGTAGTGTAATCTGGCTTAAACAGTTTATGAATGTTGGAAGATAAAGACTGCTTTCGTATTATTCTTATCAATGTAGTTGTTTTTTCTTATCTGAGGAGTATTTATACGCGCTCAATATTTGTTATTGGTTTAGATTAAATTTATTAAGTACACGATTAGTTACATTCAATATGCCAGAAATCATAAAGACAAATTTAACCAATGGAAATGGGGTTCAAAAACAACGTTCCACAAGCTTTAACGAAGAAGAAAACAAGTAAGTAAAAGTTTATTTTTGTAAAACCTTTGATAAAATCGCAATCATTTATAAATTATTAAAAATAAATTAGATATAAATATCGTTTGATTCTTAGAACAAAATTTATAATAAGAATTGAGTACATTTTCTATGAACTACATTTTCTATGAAATAAAGACGCTAGGTTTACGAATCTTATATAAATAAATTGTTTTCTGGGAGTAAATAAAATTATTAGTGTCTAAAAACAACTCTTTATCACTTATGCACTTTTTATACGAAGAAGACAAAATTCACATTTTGCTCTAAATTAATTTAATTTTTTCTGATACTATTTTTGTAGATTGTGATGTTATTTTTCTATATGATAATTAAAATAGTAATGAAATTTTACTAATTATTAATTTTTTGAATAAATTTTATGATGAAATTGTTATGAAAATTAATATTTCATTTCATTATTAAATTATGATGAAATAAAATGTTTTTACTACCACTGATATTATGAAATATTCTGTAATACAATTTTATTTATTTATTAAGAGTTAATTTAAATTTGACCTATTCAATTTCAATTATTAGGGTAACGTTTTATTAATTAATTAATTAATTGCTTGTAGCAATTTAGTCATTTGGTATACCAAGAGTATATATACTCTATAAAAATAACCGTCTTACTTGTATATATTTATATACATATGGGTCTAAGTATAAATTTTTTTAAATAAAAATTTATTAGTATATTAAAAATTAATTCATTTTCTCTATTTAGAACCATAAATTCTACATTTTCCTACATTATGTTTAATGGTAGTAGGTATATGAAAATGACTTAGCAAAACAAAAATATAACTTCATTTTTAAGAATTAAAAATAATAAAATACCTAAATAAAAGTTACTAAGTAAATTTGTATTATTTATTTCAGGATTTCCTATGAATCCCTCCAAGAAACTTCAAAATACCTGACTGATAGAGTGAAATTCACTCCTAAAATTGGAATTATCTGTGGCTCCGGGATGGGTGGGTATTGGAAAGCAGGTTCATATATTAAACTTTTTTAAGCATGAGCCAATAAAGTACCTAATTGTTCCAAGTTAAAGCCATTAAGTTGTTTGTTATTTATCTCTTATTACGTTTTAACTTGGGGCATACATAACCTTTATGATCTTTGGGCATGCTTTTTGCTTATTTGTCTTAAACTATCGTAAAATTATAAATGGGTAGTCTTAAAAAGGGTTAATAGCATTAAAATATAGAATTTAAGTAAATTAGTTTCTATATTTTATTAATTAGCATTTTTTCAGTAAACGTTTTAGGTTCTAATTTTAAATCATTTTAAATTGTATTTTTATTGAAAAAAAGGCAATATTATTGCATAAGTAAAATATTTATTTAAATTAAAATTGAAGCAACAAGATAAACGTTGTTTATTATACACTGGCAATTAATTTAAATGTGTAATATTGCAAAATACCCTCATTATTTTAAAAATTGCTGATGATAATATTATTATTTCGTAAAGTAAAAATATGTAAACACATTATTTTTAAAATGCAAATATGTAATAAAGCCTATTATTTTTATCGAAACTTAATATAAATAATAGTGTCAAGTAATATTTAAATAAACTTTTAATTTAATAGGTATATTTATACTTACTAATATAATATGTACCTATTAGTAGAAAAGACCATTAAATTTTATAGTCCTTTTTTTAAAGTATTGTAATAATTTAAACTGTATTACATAAAAATGTTCTATTTTGTTCCAATTTAATAATTTGGAAATTTACTATAAACGATTAACTATTGAAATATTATTATTGTCACAAACAAGGAAAATTCCATCCATCCGTTCAATCAAACAAATATAAAGTAAAATGATATAAATATTTATACTTGATTAAAAATCTTAATCTTAAAATGTTAGTTAATAAAAGTTTAGGGTTTAAACAGCTGTAATATTTTACGGTCTTGTATAAAAGACCTGTTAAGTTTTACAGGATTGTAGAAAAAGCAATTTATGAAATGAAATGACACATTTTACATTCATTGAAATTTTAAAATTTAAAAATCGATATCTAAATGTGAAAATAAAAGTTTGTAGGTGTCACGCTTTGCAATTAATCTTTACTAGGCTCACTGGATTATGGGTTCGCTCCTGCGTCTCTCACCCACCACTTCTCGCTCAGAGCGGCAATGTATCACTTTGCGCTCTTAATACATAAATAGTTATTTTGAATAAAAAGTAATTACTTTATCTATTTAGTGAAAAGATAATATAAAACAATCGATACAATTTGATAAAATTTTCATTTAAACAAAAATGGCAACACAACGCAAGCGACTAAAACAAATTTTAATATTTCTGGTGATGATGCGCGCTCTAGTCGACCAATCACAGATAATTATGGACAACATTAAGTCAGACCGGTATAAATGTTTTTCGTGACTTTAATTTTTAAAAGCCATTTTAGTTACGACTTTTATTAGGCACGAGCGAAGCTTGCGAGTTGCATACTATACTTTATCTATGACGAACACAGAAGAATTTAAAGCCAATTTTATCAGCCCGTGACTAAAATGCCCAAAAACCACTATTTCTAACTTTGGCCCGTGACTAAAACGCCATAAAGTCACAGCTCGTCAATGTTGGAGTAGATAAAAACATTTACCTACCTATCGGTATAGAGGTAGGGAGTAGGTATAAATAAAACAAAAAATATTTAAGATATAAAATTAACTACAAATCAGAAGTTACCACTCATCTATAATGAGATTTTGGTAACAAAATATCATAACATTATTTTTCTAAAAACATTACTTTTAGTCTTTTTTTACCAAGAAAATATCACTGCCTTTTCTGTGTAATGTCACTGAATTAATATTCTTTACTTGCCTTGGAATTTTTTTATTTATACTTGGGATATTCCCAATTAGTTCATCGCAATCTGACTTTAATATATACAATTTAACATAGTGTGAAACAATTTTCTAGCACAAAAAAAAAGTTTTCATGAAGTGCACTAGGTTTTGCTGCAAATGCAACTACGCATCGACTGAATCTAAATTCTAACTGATCTACTCGAAACTCGCTTACATTTTCATCCCCACTAGTAATTATAAAAATTGATGTATTGGGTCATTATTTTTAGAGGTAGGAAAAACAATGAATGATTACAAGTCAAAAAAGAATTCTGAATTTATATTTACAAAAAAACGCCTACGAGACATCTCTTTGTAGATTTATTATTAACTACCCGATAAGTTAACTAAATATTATTATTATGTAATATTTTATATATATTTGAAATTAAACCAGTGTATTACATTTTAACCCGGACAGCTTAACTATTAATTCAAATAAATTCTTAAATAACATATCAAAATTTAAAAATTATAACTCTATGGCGCCTTTAAAGAAATGTGTTCGTAGGTAACTTTATTTTGTAATAATAAATGAATGTTTTGTCTGTGTGTAAAATTCAAGTAAGGCAATAAAGTTTAATTCCGTTCCAGGCTCGTTAGCAGATGCCCTTGAGGATAAAATAGAATTTCCATATGAAGACATTCCTCATTTTCCCAGAAGCACAGTCGAGGGACATGTGGGAAAGCTTGTGTTCGGACATTTGTCAGGAGTACCCATTGTCTGCATGCAGGGTCGCTTCCATTATTACGAGGGATATCCTTTGTGGAAATGTGCCATGCCCGTGCGTGTCATGAAGCTCATCGGAGTCGACTACCTCATAGCTACAAATGCTGCGGGAGGTCTAAATCCAACTTACAACATCGGCGACATTATGCTAGTCAAGGACCACATTAACCTTATGGGATTCGCAGGCAACAATCCTCTCCAGGGGCCGAACGACGACAGGTTTGGAATACGTTTCCCACCTATGAATCAAGCCTACGACAGACAACTTATGAAGGACGCACTACAAGTTGCCAAGGATATGGGAATTTCCGATATAGTGCACGAAGGAGTCTACACTTGTCTAGGAGGTCCCAACTTTGAAACCGTCGCTGAGCTTAAAATGCTCAAGATGTTAGGTGTTGATGCTGTAGGCATGTCAACAGTGCACGAAGTGATCACCGCTAGACATTGCCAAATGACTGTATTTACCTTTAGTTTGATCACTAATTGTTGCGTGACTGATTATGACACCTACGAATTGCCTAATCATGAAGAAGTTATGGATGTAGGCAAAATGAGACAAGGAATCTTAAAAGACTTTGTTAAAACCGTGGTTTTAAATATTTCCAAAAAATATGTTAAATAAATTGTTATAATAATATAGGTAGGACCTATACGTAAAACAAAAATATTTATTTAATTGGGCAGTTTCTTTTGTATTATATATTTTAAGTTCCTATCAACTTTATTTAGGATGTTTTTATTGATTTTTAAGCAAACATGTTTAGTTAAAGTATTTAAAAAAAATGATTCTTTACATTATAAAATGAACTATACCCAGTTGCAGTTTTTTATCAATTAATATTGTACACATTATTTACAGCTAATTTTGTTTTATTTTATAAATAATTGCAAACTTACTTATTTTTTGCCGAGGATATTATTCTTTAGGTTTACAATTATTACTTTGTTTGTGTATTTAAACTATTTACCAAAAAAAAATATTTGTTTTAAATTCGTTTTTTACTTATTCCTACTATTTTAAACTATCCAATTTTTTTCATTAATCAGACTTCTAGGAGTTCTGATCCAGGACGTTTAAAATCCTATAAGTTTAGTTAAGTTATGTATGTGGGCAATTTTCTGATTTAATTTTTAAATATTTTTTGTCAAAATATTAAATTTGTGTATTATGCCTCATTTGTTTAAAGACTAAAATTATGTTTTAAATATAATATCCACAAAATGTTCCTTTCTGCAGGCTACAGACTATAGATTCAGTTGGGAAATAAAGCTTCGAAGAGAAATTCGAATGGTTAGCTTTGATGATTTTATAAAATTTGCTAATTTGTTTTAACTAATGAATTTGCATTTCCGAGTAATTTCAAAGAAACTAATTTGCACTTATTTTACAATATATAGGGTGGTCCAAAAAAAGGAACCTTTATTAATTTGAGAATCAATAAAAAAAAGTTAAAATAATATTAATTTTCTTAATTAATTAATATATACAAGGTGTTAAAGTTGCATATATTTTTTTGAAAAAAAATAATTTCTCCTAAACTACTATCGAAATTTAGGTACTATTTCTAGGCCATACTACAAGCACTGGCGTCACTACCCAGATAGCACAAGATAGCCCACGGACATCCTATTTAGGTTATTCTCGGCTTAGCCAGGCCGAAAGGGTCTGGGACATCCATAGGACGTCAAGTCTAGACCCAGTCCGGCTTAGCCTGAATAGGCGTAATTTGGACGTCCAAAATACCCCTAATAAGGCTAAGCCGGACCAAATCTAGACTTGACGTCCTATGGATGTCCCAGACCCTTTCGGCCTGGCTAAGCCGAGAATAACCTAAATAGGACGTCTCTTTTCACACATCACAGGATGTCCAAAGGGCGTCCATTGGACGTCCTTTGGACATCTTCTACTATCCCAAGTAACATTTTTAGTTTTATTATGGTCTTCAAAGTTTTATTATAGTCTTCAAGAACGCTTTAAAACAAAATTTTGTTTTAAAGCTTTCTTGAAGACCATAATAAAACTAAAAATATTATTTGGGATGTGGGTTGGCTAACATGCCTAAACTTTTAGGTCAAGCAATTTTCGGATATGTAATAAATTGTGAGAAATATCATGTAAGTACGAATTATATAAAGCACCTATTTTTATGAGGTTACTCTTTTGCCTTCTTTGGATGTTAGTGGGACAGCCTGAGGGGGTCACAGAGAGACAAACAAATCGATAAGCCTTATTATAAGAAAGATTCATTTACAAAAAACAGAAGTTTATTATTAAATATAGTTTATAATATCTATTCGTTCTTCAATCTTTTAAATTATTTAAATGTACCTATATAAACACCGTTATTATAACGTATAGTTTTGAATTTAAAAACATAGGTCTTCTTCGAGTAGAACCGAACGGGTTCGTGACGACGTTTCCCATAATCCGTTGCCAATGGCGTTTTTTTTTCTATGATGGCGTATATGGTGGTATTTCTTCTCTGTTCTTTGGAATTTATCGGAATTTTCCAGAGGTAAAGAAAGTATTTAAGTGCAATTAGTGCTGTTTCGTGCTTTATTAATAATTTTCTGTTAACATAAGCAGCTTGAAGATCGTGTTCATGTTTTATCTTTGCCAACGACTCCATAGAAATTTTCTTTGAAGTTGGTTGTACCCAGACGTATAATAAAATCAAGAATAAATTCAAGTAAGTAATTTAATTAGGTTTGTCTTGACTAATAGACTGTACCACAAACATTTGTGCTGTAGTTAGGTGAATAAAAATGTTTAGTTAAAATTTGTAGGTGTTTTATTTTTTATTCCCGTCAGCCAAATTATGGCCACATTTGGTCCTAGGACGGTCTTTAATAGACCATAATAGGACGGCCAAAGGCCAACCAAAAGTGTCTACTTTGGAAGTCCTACGGACGTCCATTCGTGGTCTTCGGATATCCGTAGGACGTCCTCTATGTCCTGAGTTGACGTCCTAAGGATATCCAGTGGGCGTCTGTGTGCTGTTTGGGTACGGGGGTGAAAATATCTTTTTTTTGAAAATAGAAGATACACAATGATCTAAAAAAATGTGTACGCTTTTAAAATTAGCAGGCGATTTACGAACAAAAATCCTCTCGAAATTTGGGTACGGGGGTAAAAATATCTTTTTTTTGAAAATAAAAGGTACACAATGATCTAAAAAAATGTGTACGCTTTTAAAATTAGCAGGCGATTTACGAACAAAAATCCTCTCGAAATTTGTTCGTAAAATTCCAATTCACTGTAATTAAATTTTATTATGGCGTCTAATATGTTTTAGTAGAAAATACCATTTATGGCCTTTTTAAAATGCATGGTAAAGTGATAATTTAAACTGTATTTCATAAAAATTGTTCTATTTAGTTCCAATTTAATAATTTGGAAATTTACTATAAACGATTAACTTTTGAAATAATATTATTATATTGTCACAAATAATATTATTATATTGTCACAAACAAGGAAAAGTCCATCCATCCCACATAGGGGTATTTAAGCAAAAAACGCGGACACAATTATATTTGTTTTAATTTGTGTCCATGTTGCTCTGATTTAATACAGTATGGCATAAGAAAAGATTTTCAACTAAAATTTATCGATTATATCCCATAAAAATATACACTCTCAACAATGAAAAAAATTAACATTTTTGGTAAATGAAACATATTTTACATATTCTAATTGTATAATTTTAATAAATAAATTATTAATCTGAGGAATCCCAAACCTCTTCGTCACTTTCAACTTCTTGTGTAACTTTTCCTGGAAGCAATATTTCTAGAGTAGTCTTGCAGAAAGGTTCTGATTTTTTGGATTTATTTTTACTATTGCAACTTAAATATGGGTCGGATGTTAGCAATAATCTATTAATGATGTCAGTATTGCATTGCTCCCTAGAAAACTTTCTTGAGAAACTTTCTCTAAATTGACGAAAATGTTTATTTCGCGCTTCCTTCTGATAGTGCTTCAATCGGAAGTAAGGCATGCTCGATAATAATAGGCCCATGAACTAGTACCTTGTGGACTGTAGGGGACATCGGGTGCCATGGATATAATTCCACATATAGTTTTACTGCATCTAAACAATAATTTTTAAATTTTTCCAATATTTATTTCGTGTCCACTAGAAATAACTTCCAAAACTACAGCAAATCTTTCCATAAGGTTGTAATTAACACCTGTGATTGATGCGGATGTTTTAAGATTAGCAAAAAATCTTCGGCTTGTATTGCCATCATTGCTGTTGCCAGCTTGGGCTTTCGGTAAGTACATCAACAATGAGTCCAAGTTCTGTTCTAAATCGTTCTTTTATCATTTCTTTTCTTTCCTTCATAATGTTTTTATCTTCCGCTGATCGTATTTGCCATTTCTCAATCGGAAATACATAAGACAGATTTAGTAAGGTTTTAAAAAACCTTATTTGAGCATGTAAAATCGATAAACCAAATGATAAATTTTCAGTATTTACATTATTGTATCTTAATAAATCGTTAAACTGCTTCGATGTAGCTTGACAAATGTAACATCTCATAGTCGATTTAGTTTCAGTTGCTGCATTGCACACTTTGCCATCCACCATAGTCAAAAACATTTTGTGCTTAACGACTATTTCTTTTGCTTCTTTGTCTATCTTCGTAGGTAATAGTGACGCGATTTTACTTTTGTAATAATTAATTTCTTCTTTTGTTACGTCCGATGTCTCGTGTATGAATCTTATCCTCATAGGACGACAAAATCTAGGCGAAGATGGAGTTGGATTTTGCCAAATGACTTTATTGTTTAAGATACAAATAAGTCCTAAAGGAACCAGAGAAGACTGAAAAATGTTTGCATCAGAATCACTGCTATTTTAAAATTTTTGCTTGTATTGTGCTTGTTGAGAACTATCACAGCCTCACTTGTACATAAGTTCAAGTGAAGCCGTTTCTTCACTTGTCAAAACTTCCAATACATTGCTTAAGTAAAGCATAAGCCGCTCTACAGTATGATCTACTAATGCTTGCAAATCTATTTCTGCACATGTTTCATTAATGCTATAATATTGTTTTGCCGGATAACATTTTTTTTTGCTTTTTGTAAAATACTGTAACAAGGATAACGATCCTTGGAAGCTTCTCGAATAACCTCATATTGTCTTCTGCTTAAAGACGCTTCCTCAAACACCGATAAAGCTTCTGTTGGCGTTAGTTGCAAAAAATCATGAATTTTCAAAAAATTTCGAAAAACGGAGCAGCTAGGATTTTGGTAAATATCATTTTTAAGTCACCAAAGGGTCCCAAACAAGAAACTGCAATCAGTTTTTGGCGGCATTTTTATGTGACTTAAACTTCGTTCAGGCACACCGTGGGGAGTTGCTTTGATCATCATTGACTTCTGCCATCGTAAAGTATCCAAATACGAGAATGTCTTTGCTGCTGTGTTGGACTTCTGTTTTGATGATCGTGTGGCTAATGATGTGTATATTTGTGGGTAAATTTTTCGAGGCTGTTTTAATCAACTCCTTTGTCCTTGCTGGTGTAAGGAAGGCATAAAAATTGGCGTTGTTAAACTGAAGATCTAGCAGGTTTTTATACCTTTCGATTTCTTCATCTAGGTAATTCAATGCGAGTTGGTATGCTGCTAGTAGATGTATTTCCAGTTTATTTATATGTATTGTATTGTACTCATCTCGTTAAGTGTATTCATATTTTGATCCATTTTTTCCTTGAATCTGTCTAGTTGTTAGTATATTCTTGTTCAGTATCATTAAATCGTGACAGGGCTTGAAGCATTATTTTTGTTTGAGGATTTGATGATCGTATTAGTTCGTATTGGTTTTTATCCAAGGCGTCTATGTCACGGGCAAACCTCATCGTTCACTCCAAAGACTCCTAGAAGTCCTCTTTTTTGTTGTTCGTGTTTGGTGGTGTTTTGTGTAGTCCGTTTTTAGCCATTGTAGTTGTCCTTCTTTCTTATTTAAATGCTGTGCCAGAGAAGAACATTTTACTTCATTTGTAAGGAATGCTAATTTGGTACAGAACTGCGACATGTTTTTGATGACTTGTTGAAACTGCTCAATCCCACTGTCCAAATCGGTTCTTTTTATTTGCACTTCTATTCTAAAGGACCCTCTATCCACTTGTGCGTGCCCTATGTGCTTAATGTACATTCCTGGATTGGGATAGTCTACCTTGTATAATTCAGTTGGTTTTACCGCACAATAGGATGGCAGTGACTAAAACAACTTTCCACCCACATGTGTTGCTAACGATCGCTTTTTTAGCCTTGTTCACAGTTTCTGCCTTGTTTTCCATTGGAAGGGGAACGAGTTTGTATATGGGCCTTTTTAGTGATATGCCATCCGTTTTCCGAAGGGTGACAACTCGTATGAGGTTGTCGTTTGACGGGTGTACCTCCTTTATTCTTGCTAATGGCCATTTTGACGGAGCCATGTTGTCTTCTTTTATGATTACCATGTCTCCCGATACCATGTTACCCTCAGTAAATTTCCATTTATATCTCTTTTGAAGTTCATGATTCTGCCGACCATACTTTCCAAAAGTCCTTTTTCATCTTTTGAATCAAATTCCAACGGTCCTTTAGATTGTCATTTAAGTCTGCTGATGTTGGATTTGCTGGTTACATCAATTCTCTCCAAATCGAGAAATGCCCTGGTGTTAGTGTGCCTGAATCGTTGATATCGTCTGTCAATGGGCAAAGCGATCGGGAGTTCAGACATGCTTCTATTTTATATATTTGATATTTCTTCAAACGTAAGGGTAGCTTCGTCAACAAATCTTTTAAAATGATGTTTCATTGATTTGACGGCCGCTTCCAATATTCCACCGAAATGCGGTGCTCCTGGTGGGATAAAATGCCATTGTATTCCAATAGTTGCTGATTGGTTTTCTACGTTTGACTCTAAAAGCATTCTCCTAATCTGTTTGTCTAGAAGCCGTTGAGTTCCCACAAACGTTGTTCCGTTGTCGCTGTACACATAAGCACATGGCCGTCTTCATGCGATAAATCTTCGGAAGAAGGCCATGAACGCTTTAGATGACATGTCACTGACGACTTCCATGTGAACTGCTTTTGTTGATAGACAGACAAAAATGGCCACATAACCTTTGTAAGATTTTTGACCTTTTTGCGGCTCTTACTTGAATTGGTCCAGCATATTCCACTTCTGTATGTTCAAATGGATAAGCTAGGTTCAACCGAGGTTCCGGCAATTGCTCCATCAGTTGTTGAGCTGCCTGTGCCTTAAACCTTGTGCATTTTGTACATTTGGAGATAATGAATCTTCTTCTGACATAGGCTAAAGTCTTCTGATTTCCTCCGTGAAGATTTTTCATATGAGCGTCCTTAATGATTAATGTCATCAGATTTCGAGGCAAGAATTATATTGTTCTATCTGCACCTTTTTCTAAATCTGGGATTTTAGCTTGGTTAAGATATTGTTCTATATTTTATTTCCAGCAATACCAAATCATTATAATGTTCTATCTGCTTCGCCAATGGGATTGTCGGAATTTTGGAGATAGAACATTTAATTCTGTAAATTTCAGTTTAAGACCGTAACTTCTGCGATACATAAGAGCTAATTTCGTGTTAAAAGCAAAAAAAGCAAGATAATATGGTGAAAAATTTATTCTGTTATATATTTATTGTAATTCACTTGCTTTTTTTAAATTCTTACAATAAAATATACAAGGAATTCTGTAATAAGAAAAATATTATACCCGTTAAAAAGAGCTGTTATGGAAGCATCTTCAATTACTAATTTCTTAAAACCAAAATGTGGCGTTTGCGAAAAATATCGTTTTAAAAAATGGTGGTAACCTAGCTATAGAAGTAGAGAAATTTAAAAAACACTTTAAATCAAAGGAGTTTTGCAAAATAAAAAAAATTTAATACCTTTAATTCAGTTGTCGTTTGCCTTAAAGAAGTGTATGGAAGAATTCCCGGAGATCAAGGTAATAACACAAAAATTTTCAGAGCCAGGGCACACTTAAATACGGGAAGTCCTCAGAGAATATTAATTTTAAATGCATCGGTGAAGGTCCTTAAATATTTACCAAAATTGCCTACAAAAATATTTGACAGAGATTTTGTACAAGCAAATCTAATTTATCGTATTGAAACAAGAAGCCACAAAGGATATTTTAAGTTGCCCGATGTGAGACCATGTCCGGTGGTAAAAAAATGTTTACTCGCTGAAGTTAAGGTTTATTTATACCAATTATTTAAATTAATTCCAGACGCTGATAAGCAGTTTATTAAAAGCATGTTTTAAGAATTTTAAGACAAGATGCATGAGAAAAAAAATTGAAGCTGGAATAAAGAAAAAATGACGTTTTTCATTTGGTTTTTCGTTTCATATTGTTTACTATATTGTGTAAGAATAAAGTTGTGAAAGAATTGCTATTTTATTTAAAATTCATTTAGATAGAACAAAATTTAAAATCAAATTCATTTTTATTTTGTATTTTTGTTCTATCTTTATATTTTATATTTTATTTTGTTTATTATTCTTTTATAAAAAGTATAAATGAGCAAAACATAATTCACATAATAATATAAAACTATCTAGAAAAGTCAATAAATTATATTTTGACCAAATAAAGCCAACTAAAATTGATTTTTATAGGGTCAATTTTTTCCTGAAAATTTGTTGTTTATGTAGATATTATAATTTTCGCCTCGCGAGATGGTGTTTGTAGGGTAGAATTATTGGATATCTTTCACTGTATTTTAACAATGAATGCTGTAGCCTTCCTCCTACTCAAAGAATGCATTCTTGATCGATAAATAGGCTTAGATTGCAGCCATTCCACGTTACTCGGGAATTTTTGTAGCGTCCGTTACAATAAAAAATTGTGAGTAAAACTACCGTAATTATGTTGCTTATAAGATTAAGCCTAATTATTACAAACATAATAAACATGTTTGCAATACTAACTATTGTAATAGTATTTAATTTAATTACGGTAGCTTTTACTCACAATTTTTGAATGTAACGGACGC